AGGCAGACGAACAGAGTCCTCCTCAGACATCGGCCATTGAAGGAAGAGCCCCCTGACCCTTTGATCCCTCAGCCTTTATACTGAGCATGAAGCAGATGGGATGGAATCCCCTGTTGGTGAGTTTTGGGTCACCTGTTCTGTCCGCTCCTCCCTGCAGGTGGGACCCCACTGTGCTTTTCTGCTTCCGACCCTCCAACGGGGCAAATACCAAAGTTGGTTGGCCTTGGGTGTTATAGCAATAAGTATAAGCAAGGTCCTCTCTGCATGCCATGCCTGGGCATCAGCTATAAACATAGGTCTTATCACCCTGAGAGAGTGAACATTGTCTGCACAATATGCTGTTAATTTCAGTAGTTAGAGAGGCCCAGCTAAGAAGCGAAGTTACTGAACAAAATTGGTTCTGTTTTACCTCAAACCAGGACAGTGAGGTAATGGAAAATTCACTTTTGCACAGAAGGTGGGGGAAATTTTTTCATCTAATTCGTATGTCAATATACTAATTTAGGAGAAAGCTGCTGAAGCATCAGACAGCAAACAGTGCTGCTTGTATGGATATAACCTGTGATTGTTCAGGCACCCTTTTGCCATTCAATACTCCTATACACATGAAACGTTGGAGGCTATTTCTGAACTGTCTCTAGCACACATTTCATTTGAGAATCCAGAGAGGTGTAACCTTTCAAATGCTCCCTAAAAGGGTCCTAGCCATTTCCACATCTGGCCTCTATCTTGCTGCAATCTGTTGCTGTTCTCAGGTTCATGTGTTTCCTGATTTCCTATTGTGCATTGAAAAACCACATTTCCCTCACCACATGCTTCTATGTCTATTCCAGCTTTTATTTAAGACTAGGGTCTCACAAGGTTCCATAAGCAATTAAGATTCCTGGGGGAAAAATGAACCTATTTTTAATTCACTTTTTTGGTAGGAAGCTACAAAATAACAGGAAAAAGCAGTATGAACTTAAAGCCTGCAACCTTCAGGCACCACTTGTCAGAGCTCAACAATGGTGCTCTTGTTATTGCCTGGCTGGAGGTAGAGGTTACTATTCTTCATTATGCTTTGCTGGATATCTAAATTGCAATACAGAGTCACGGCAGCTCTCTTTGTCCCTCTTGTATTACTCAGGTTCCATTTTTTGCTCATAAGGTAATCCCCAAAACCCATATATGATTTTGCTTTCTTACTATCTTGCCATTCCTGAGTTGGATTTGACATCATAAAATTTCAAAGCTTAAAAAGTCATTCTGGTCCTACCAGTGGTGAGATTTTTATGATTCAGTTCAGCGTGAAGCCAATGCTGCTGTCATCCTTTAATGAATAACACTTAAGCGTTTGTCATCCCGCATTTCCCACGGAAAGCATTGCTGGCTGCTATAGTCACGTATTAAGCAAGTTCAGCGTGATGAACTTGCCCTGTTTTCTCAAAGCATCCTTCCCTAAATAGGATAGTAAAAATTTTAGAAATGAAACAGACTAGGAATATAGTGGTATATGATATTCCATGGTGCTTAAAAGAGAATAATAGTCTAGAATCTCTGTTTTAACCTGTCTATGAAAGCTTTCAGACTCTCTTAAGACTCTCTAAAGGAGGCATCCTTCATTATGAGGTTGAGGACTTTTTAGACCAATTTCTGCAAATGTTTCCTGCTGATCTAATCTTTACTCATGTCTACAGACTCCCCCTAAATGTGGTAAACGGTTGCCTGTATCCCTCATCCCCTCTCCAACTTTTATACACAGAAGCTACAAAGGGAACTACAAAAGGTCTTGTAAGGCAATCTCCTAGGCTTGTCTCTTACCAGGATTTTAAATATATTGCTAGGTGTGAAGATGGAAGCGGTGTGGTGCCTGCTGCAGCGCTGAGCAAGCTGTCTCCTGTTGCAGTCTCCTTATGTTCAGAGCCGCAGACAGTGCTGGCTGTGGTCACAGATCCTGTGGGAGGAAAACAGATCACTGCCTGTCCCTCTCCTGTATCACCCCCAGAGTATTTCCCTTTACACAATACAGCACAGGGACAGGGGGTTGGCATCTGCTCTCTCTGTATTTTTTCCAATTCAACTTTCACATCTTGGTCAATAGCCATCCCACACCAAGTCATTTCTGTGGTCTTACAATCTCGCACAGCAACTGATGACAGAAAAGATTGACTTTTAGCCCTCGGCCACCATTTGCCTTTGTTTTTCCACCTCTCTATAATTCAAAGAAATAATATACCTTTGAAAGCTGAGATTTTTTCATACTAGGGCAATAAACACAAACTGTAGAAGAGCAGGTTGTGTTAATCTACATGCTTCCTGATGGAAGGTGCATAAAGAAGATCTGGGATGAAGTGCACTCCATTTCTTTTCACTTTCTAAAATTCTCTATGCAGTCACGTGGATGGATAAATGCACAAATGTTTGTGAGCAACACCTGTGCATTTATATACATGTCTTGGGGTGAAGGGTCCTGAAAAATCACTGCCTCAGCTGTAGCAGCCCAGATTGTCTGAGATGGTGAGCTGTTCATTGAGGCAAGTCCACAGGCAGTGGATTCAACAGAACAGACTGAGTTTAAGGTGGTTTATCCTTACACTGGATTGTTCTTCCTGTAATTTATGGGTAGCCATAAAAAGCCTTAAATCCACACCTCCGGCTACTCTAAAGCTGAATGCAGATTAGAAGGATACTAGCGCTATATGCTAAAATAGGATGGTGCCTAGTCCCTTTTTGTCCCTATGAGCAAGCAGATTTTCATACTGCAGCAGCAAACTGGAGTCTACAAGCACGTGGGGATTATACACTTTTATCTCCCTATTTTTGTCACTCCTGTCGGTTGATTTTCTGCACTGCTTAGTTTTGCACATACAAGGAGATTGGTTTTCTGACACCACAGAGGTTATTTTGTTGAGCTGTAAGAATTTTTCATTTCACTAGGAAGACTTCAAAGCAGAAACTAAAAGCAGATGTTCAGGTTTGCTGAGCAGTCAGTCCTGGCTTGAAAATCTCCATAGCCTCTTTATTAACAGCCTCAAGTTTCTTGTTACTGATTGTCAGGAGGAAATTTGTTTGGAATTAAGCTTTCCTGTTAATTTTTATTGCTGCATTCTCAGTTTAGACCCAGAGAACCTGACATCCTTCATGACATCATCCACCAGAGGAAAGGCTCACTTCGTGGAGTATTAGTAAATAGTTTACTTGCAAGTATCTGACAAGCAAGACTACAAGTTTTATCCAGGGGAAAAGAAAAACAAAATCCTCAATTTTGATTTTTTTTTTTTATTGGCATCCATTTACTTTATACCTCCAACTGCAGCCTCAGAGAATCTGAATGCCCCAGTGAGCATACCCAGAGTCTGATTTTGTTCCTGGGATACTAAATAGCATGTAGTTGCATTTGCTGTAAGAATTCACAGTGATATGATTGTATTTTCCAGGAGTTAATATAAATTCAGGGAACTTTCCCCTTTTCCTACTAGACTACAGTTCTATTTTATTAACTGGTGTTTTTTCTTCTGCTATGTTTCTATGAAAAAAGAAGCACACAGAAAAAAGTACTACCCAAGGTTACAAGTCCAGTCCATCTGTCCCAAAATACTACTATAAAGTTTTTATAATTACAAAGTGAGGAGCAAAATAGGAACATATTCTTGCCCTGATAATGCAATCACTAGGCAACAAAAGCAGAGGGAAATAAAACTAGCTGACTTTCCCCACCATTTGCAATCCCAAAGGGCTGTTGGCATTACAGCATCAATACGATGGAGATTCAAAGATAGAAAGCAGTGTATATAAGGCTATCCTGACCCATTGGTGGAAATGGTCTCTATCTATGGAAGAGCCTTTGTACAACAGACTGGAAGTGCTCAGCTCTCATTATTTCCAAGGTACTTCCTGTAAAGAACTCAAAACTGCAGAAGGCTGTCAGTAGCTTATGACATGGTTGTGCTATCCTACTTACCAGTCTTTCTTCCTCACCCACATAGATTCAGGCTGCAGCCAACACTAGAGGGCTGAGTATATAATTGCATACTGACTGGTCATGTCATAGCAGTCATGAAATCCTGAGTTGATTCAAAAGCCTCATAGTCTCAAGCCTTAAAGTCCATTACCGTGCACTTTAAACCCCAAGGACACTCTCTTCCTCAGTAACTCTGGTGCTATGACAGGTTAACTTGGTTAACTCTAGTGTAATCCTTATGGTGGGATGGGAACCCCTCATAAACTAGAACTCCTCAGATTTATGTCTTCTCTAAAACTTCCATATTTGTCACACAAACCCTTCCAGACCTAGTTTTGGCACACCTGTGTTCCTCTACTGATGTTGAGCAGCAACTGATGTTGCTGTTGAAAAGCAACAACTGCAGTATTGCCATAATTTCTCCTGTGGATTTGCTTTGTACTGTACACATACCTTGAACAAACTGATCTGAGGTAGTCCTGGCTTTAAGCCTCAGTTATGATTTCACCATCAGCACAAAGAGCCATTAGTCTTTGTCAGATGACAGAAGAGTACATCTGAAAGGAACTAAAAAAGATCAGTTAGTCCGTTCTTTTTCTCTGAGGCAGATCGTGTCCAGCACATTAATGACAGATCATAGCCTAGCAATTTTTTAAAACTTCTGGCGATACAGTTCAAATAATCTAAGTGGCTTGCTCCTGTGTTTTACTATCCTATAGCAAGGATAGTAAACAAGTTTTTCATCATATCTAATTAAAGTCTCTCCTCATTTCATGTATACTGGTAATTTTCCTATCTTAAGAGAACATAGAACTGGCCAACATACTGTCTCAAAAGAGACCTTTGAGCTGCTACTGGGTCGCAACACTGGTGGAAAATCAATCCTGGCTCCCTACATCCCTAGAAATACATCTTCAAATGGGTTCCTGTGAAAAACGTCCCTCTTTCCAGCATCCAAACACAGTTTGATGATTGTAGAGAGAAAAAAATTGAATTTTAAAAGAAATAAAAGGCTCATGTCTTGAAACTCAATACATTGACAAGGAAAACATGGTTTGAAAATCAGACTTGACATGTAAATGTAAAAATGTCCTCTTATCAATTAATGTTTTGAAGTTTTTGCCTGGATATAGAGGATATTTGAATTCATTATTCTTCATAATAAGGGAAAACACAAATTCAGGATTTTTTCCTTTTGTTTTACAGATTTGAGCAATCTCAATTGACTTTTACCCCACTCTTAAGTTTTTCACTTCTGGTAGCCTTTGTGTTTCTGAGCAGAATCCAAAGTTGCAAGATACTACAAGGCTGGTTATCCTTTTAGTATTTTGTAGCTAAGAGGAATAATAAAACAGTAAAACTCTAAGGGAATTTTACATTTATGTTCTTGAAATAGCATGAAGATAATAATTTGGCATTCTGGGATGCCTCTCTGAAGTTTTGGCATTTACCCCTTAGAACTAAATATCCCTTAGAGCTGAGTGAAATGGGATGGAGCGGCTTGAGGTATCTCCTGTCAAAATGCGTTCCATTTCAGAGGCTGTGGTGCAAGAAAAGTTAGGCCAGAGAAGTTCACAAAAGATACCTAAGAAAAATGCTCATTGCTAGTAGGCTGACATTTGTTATGCAGGGAATCATACCTCCATGGCCAATTTTTAGTAGTACACAAATTGAAGAAGGATAATTTTTTTTTACCCAAGCTCCACTGTAAAAATAATTAATGTAACGGGCTCTATGGCCTGTGTTACACAGGAGCCCAAATGAGGTCATGACACAGAAAGGTCGCTTTGGTCTTTTCACTGTAACTCAAACATAGGGTTGTCTATACAACAGGGCTAAACACAGGTATGTATGTTCAGTTCTGTGCAGAGCTGAACTTATATCTCATAGTAGAGAATTCGGCTGCACGGGTCTCTGGACATTGTAAAGGACACCATGGTGCCATTTATAAATGTTGTCATTGCTGCATGATTCCTAAGATGAATATTGAATATTTTCTTCTTGATTCTAGTTATCCCTGAAAAGTCAGTGAAGGAAATTGCAAGAATCCCTGGAACAGCTAAGGACACAATTAAGAAACTTCTTGCACATAAAAACAGTATGAAAAAGCATGAAACAATCAAGAATGTGATCCCAGAAGCAGCCGTGACACCGGCTTCTAAGACCCACTTGCAGTTATTGGACTATGAAGGTGGTATTGATCTTGGTGGGAGCTACACTGAGGAAGAGAAAGAAACTGAAGCTACTGCAGAAGAGGAGGCAGAAGAGTCAGACGAAATCGAGAAGGAAGATTTTGAGAATCAAATTGAGCATGAGCGAAGCCTTAGAGGAGATGTCTTCTGTAAGTTTCTTCATTTAAAAAAAAAATAATCTGTTTTCAATGTAAATATATAGAGATAAACACTAACAAAATCATCATGAAACATTACGGCCATTTTGTCAGAATTTACTTGAAGACAATATAAAGCAACCTAACATACCTACTGGTGAGATTAAATGTACCAAATCTCCCTTTTAGGGGAATCTGTCTGCAGTCAACGTGAGGAGAGAGGGACTGTGCTGTCCTGACAGCCCCTCTGCAGGCTGTGCTTTCAGAGCAGCTTAGACGTAGCACACACAGCTTCTCCTTGTTTTCTTCAAGAAGCCCCAGCAAGATAGTCTGCTGCTTCTTTACAAGCAAGACAATAATTAGCTTTGACTCGTGATAGGCATGCTCATCGTCCTAAGTAGTGTGCATTGTTCAGAGGAAAAACATAGTTCATTATCTTACAGCCACACCAGACTCATTACCTAAGCCTCAGCCTCTCTCTTTACTCAGCCTTTCACTCCTGATGAGCTTATGCCACTTCCTATCTATCTTCTACCTAAAAGAGGTAGCAGCTGCAGGAGCTGAAGCCAAATTGGGGTTGAAACTTTCACTGGATAGCAAGCTACCCTTGAGGTTCAGCCTTACTATGCTGGGACTGCCAAATGCATTTGAGAGTCTCAGACCAAAGGATTAAGTGACTTGCATCTGTTCTCTCACAAGAAACATTCAAACCCAGGTATCCTGATGGCCATACTTTTATGATGACAGAATTCTGTTTTACACACTTTTCCACTAAAATACTATCCTAAAGAAGGACATAACTCTTCCCAGTCATGTTAATTAATCCAAAGCTGGCCATAATTTTTCAGGAAATATGGAGAAAGTAAGCAGAAGACAGTTGCAATATATATGGCGACTTTTGCTAAGACTAGGTTCTCAGGTACTCAGGCTTCTTCATGAAGGTAAGTTGATGGGGACCTTGCATGTGCCAAGAGTATGGTGTGAACTGACCAGCAGTGGTAGTACCAGATACGTTCAGCTAAATGTAGTTAGACTGGGAAGGACTCAAAGAGGTTGACTAACTGCAAAATGCTAGTGGGACCTGAAGGGATATTTACCTTCGGCAAGAGTGTGCTTCCCAGTAGTTGTGATTTCTGTAGGGACAAAACCTTTTCCTTCCAAACAGAATTGCAAGAATATTGCTGGTCTAGCACTTTTAGGGGCATAGTACTAATAGGTTCTGTTAATAGTTGTTATATATATACATTAAATATTTATAAATAATACTTTTATTAGTTATACATACATTTATTCAAAATTCTGTGCCAGAAAGGACTGTGGGCTTTTCTGCTTCCTCAGTTGTTAGGCAAGGCAGCTGGTCAGGAAAAAAAGTAATCATCCAGGTCAGTCCTCCTAACCCTTGCTGCCTTTCTGGGATAGATGGATGGATGGATGGATGGATGGATGGATGGATGGGTGGATGGATGGATGGATGGATGGATGGATGAATTGATGGATTGGGGGAGGTAGCTCAGACATCTCAAGTTTTCTTCTGTAACCTGCTTGGACAGGTCAGGAAGGATTGCCAGAAATACTGCCCCCAGGGTAGGGTTACCATTTTTTTTGGCTAGAAGGACATAGGGCTCTGCTCTTTGTGCCTGGTGTTACAAGGGGAATGTGCTCTTCTGTACTGGGCAATGTGACTTGACGCAGTTGCAAAGCATGGATCATGTAACCTTCCTATTCTGGGTGCTACACTATTTGGAATAGATTCATTTCCCAGATTTCAGTTTGAGCGAGGGCACACAGGGAAGATCCTTCGTCCATAGGAAAAGCCAAGTCAAAATAATATGCAAGAAATTTTTGTCATGATGTTTGGTGAGATTCTTTTTCAAGGACTTTCTCAACCAAACCAGGACATTTGAGCACCATGTAGCTGGGGTAGGCAGAGACTACTTGTCTCTACAAAATTGCCACTACAACTGACAGCAGTGACAATTAATGTTATTGCTTGAAAATATTAAAGCACTCTGTTTTATCTGTATTGTTGCCTATACTGTCTTTGTTCCAGTCACATTTGGCTGGAATTTTTCATTATTAATATAACAGATTTATATGCTGAACGTGCTAGAGAGATTATTTCACCAGAGGATACTGGCAGAAGGTTGGTGTGCTGCTTTATACAGGGATACTAGTATGCCCAAGATGTAGTTTCATTAAGTATGTGAACTTGTATTATTCATGGCTTTCTTGTTTGATACCAGCTATGTGCAGCACTTAAGGCATTGTGACATTTGCATTTTTCTTTCAGGATGGGTTGCATAGATTAACTGTGCTTCCTTTCCATTTAAATTTTCATATGCTATACTTGATTTTTGTTACTATAAAAATTCAGTCATGATTCAGCCACTTAATTGTTTGAACTTTTGGCTTTAAAAACACTTTCATTTTTAATGATATTGAATGATCCTTTGGAGTACATGATTAGCTCAAATTTACAGCTCATAAATTTACACATCCTTTTTTTTTCCTCCTCTGCTGATGTCTACTCAGCAGCGATTCCTTTACTACCACATTAAGTTCCTCCATATAATCCCCTCAAGTATTCACATAGCATCTGCCTTATGTATTATTAATATTGGTATTGTTTGTCTTCCAGGAAAAGTACTTAATTAGGAAAAATGGATAGGGCACACTTTTCAGAGATCCTAATTATTATTTTTAAATTTATTTATTATAATTATTATATATTATTTTATCATAATATTTTTACTATATAATAAATATATAGGGAGCCACAGAAAAATACTGTAGGGGAAAAAGGAATTATTATAGGGAGATTGAAGTTATTAAAATATGCCAACTATCAAAATGCAGGACCTTCATGAAAACTACTACTCACAGTTTTTTAAACAACGCAATAGTTAAAGATAGCAAAGTGAAGCCCCCAACATTCAAGAAATGTCAAAATTAAGGTCATCTGTGAAAACTTAAATTTTTCTTCTTATATTTTTTATACCTTATGATACAGCTTGTAATGAATTTATATGACTGTTTTCCATGGGGTCCTTACCTTGTTCAGTGTGAAGAAAGGACCTGTCTTGCTGTGAAAGGTGCAGTTTGATAAATAAGACTCTGTCCTATTGATTGCAAAAATCGCAGAGGTATAGAAAATGAAAATAAACCAAAGTATTGGAAAGCTCTTTACTGTGTGAGACGTCCTCTCTGTACGTGGAAGAAGACACAGAGAGGTGGACCAAAGTGCTTAGTTATATAGACAATGACTGTACAGATGCTACACTCAAGCTAGAGGTGAACTTATAGTGCACAACCTTAATTCCATCATTCTGTAACGTTTCAGTGCTTTTCGCATACCTTTTGTAATCCAGAATGGTATTGCCAACTGCAAGTAAGTTCCATATTCTGTACTTTATCAATTTACAAAACTCATATTGTGCTTCAAACACTCCCGTAGCATCATGTAGCCAGCTATGTTAATTACAGAGCCCCGTCCTTTGATAGTACCCAGAATGATAAAGAGGTTTTGGTTTTCTGGTTTATTTAGCAATACTAAAAGTGGACTGTTTCCCTTATAGGTCCTAGGCTCTTACTGTCAGTTAATCAGGACATTTGCTCATATTCTTTTCTGATAATTAGACCACTGTGTGAGCAAATAATTCTCAGACCACAGCTCAGACCGCAGCTATAGGTAAAAGGCTCAAAAGATGTCAGACATCTGGTGAATCTAATTCTTTCAGAGGAGGATGTGGTAGCAGAGATGTGGCATATTCCTTTCAGTCCAATGTAGTGATACACTGTACATATAGGAAGCTAGTCTTGACTTCACTACCTCTTATATTCCACCTGATTTTTTTACAGTGCCCAGTCTGGTTTTCTATTTGTTTGGTTTTGGTGTTTTTTTTTTTCTTATGGGCTTTGAACATTAGAGAGCAGTGTTAGAAAGAGAGCGAGTACCATTTTTTGTGAGAGTTCCCACGTGCTGCAGTTTCCGGCACTTTAGAATTCTACGTTAGAATTACCAACAGTGAGTTACTTTTCCCAAATTTTTATGCTATTTTTACATTTAGACTAACTAAATAACTACATTTGTTTTTAAATTTAGACTAACCTACCTAGGCAAAATCAGGGATAGGCATTTTCCAGGGGACAGAAAAATCAAACAGCCGTAACAAGAAATAAGAATAGACCACATTGCCCACAACTAGCACACTTAAATACATGGGTGCTTATATTCTGCCATATATCTATTCTTCCACTATAGCTGCCTCAGCAAGAGCTCAATGTGATGCCACAGATGATTTATAAGAAATACAGTCCCACTAACAGGAAAAAGAAAAAGGAATTAAAACTTTAAGGATAGCATGTGCATTACTACAGGCAAATAGAAAATTACTTCCAAGCTATAAACCAAGCCATATTTTTTCAGACAAAAATGTCATTTTCAAATGCACTTGAAGTAATTTTATATACAGCAGTTGGCAAAGTAGAGAGGTGAAACTAAGTGCGCATAAAGGAAAATCTATCAGTGTTTTCAGCAAGCTCCTTTAGCACCACAGAGTCACTTACCAGTCACTTACCAGTGCTTTTTACTGTTTCTGAAGGGTGCTCATAAAACAGTTCTCAATAGACCTATTCTACTCAGCTTCTGCTTGTTAGGTTTGGGGTTTTGGCTTTTTTTTTTTTTACTTTTTTTTTTTTTTTACTTTGAACCTTTTAATATTGCAGCTTAGTCCAAGCAGTGCTTTTCCAGATGTGCTCCTGAAGCTTCCTATTGCTTTTGTGATCTTGTTGACCCTTATTTGACTTATAGACTGACTTGAGGGTCTATCTACGTGGTACTTTTCAGGGGGACCTGAGCTCACTCCAGTTGTGCTCCAAGCAAACCAGGTGTGGGCCAGCTCCAAACAAGAACTCATGCAGGCAGAGTTGGCGCAACTGGTAGACCAGTGCTAACAAACCTGTTTGACAGGTTCCACCCGCGGGACGGGATCCACCCGCGAGTGCTGAGAGAG